GGGCCCCCTCACTGGAAAATTAAAAAAAAAAAAAAAAAAATCAATGGCCAGTAGGAAGAAAACCACAACTTCTGGGAACCTTACTACAAAGGATCGTATTCACATATTTCACTGGTGGCTCCTTCCCTAGGTTTAAATGTTAAATTACTGTGAAAGATGTCTGCAAAAATGATCAATGTTTTCATTTGTATTTCTCAAAGGTTGAAGTTTTCTGACAGCTTATATATTTTCTTGTACAATCAAATTTACTTCCTTCAAAAGACTCACATGTGAAAACACAGTAAATAACCTCTTTTTGATCGACAAGCTAAAAGCCTGAAATTTATGCAAAACAAATATTAAAAGAGAAGATTTGAAGAGGAATGTGATGTTATTTGAGAGTACGGTAAATATGTCATGTGCTATTTTATTGAAACAATTATTTATTTAATTTAGTTATTATTATTATTCTTATTCTTTAATTTGCTATAGAGTATCTGAGCTCACCAGAGACAGAGAAAAAGAGAGAGAAAGGGAGAAAGTGGGAAAGCAAGCGACCTGGTCTGGGACTCAAACTGCGGTCGGCCACACGGAAGTCCAGCAACTTAACCACCTCACCACCTGCTGGCCCCTGCCACAGGCTTTAAAAAAGCCATTTGCCACTTTGAATCTCTTTGAAAGTCTGTCAGAGGGAGAAGTGCATTTGACCTATAAAATGCAGCTACAATGCTAACCTTACATTCTTCTCTTGCAAGTTATAGCTTTATGCTCGCAAAGGGGTCAATGATATTCTACAACAAAAATAACTATTTTGGTATTTTCTATACTAAACATACAAATATAATAACTGAGATCAAAATACTTACATATATATATCCTTGAGTTATATCAGTGATAATCTGAAGACTGAATTTCTTCTCTAGATTTCAAAAGTTAAAGATTCAGTGAAATTACATATTTTATTAAAGCAGCAGCAGCCAAGTAGTTCAGTCTTAACCGTGAGGTTCGACATCCATCTACTTCTGCATTTCAGTAGCACGGCGCTGTCTGAAATACTGAAATCGCTTGAAGCTGCCTGACTAGCTTATCGTGGGTAACTGTAATGCCGCCACCATAAGAATTACAACAAATAATGACCCTGGTTGATCTGGCCAGCGAGTCTGCTCTTGCAACTTAAGGACATGAAATACAGTTTCAAATTCCTGCAAAACTAATAATGTACTTGGAAAGATAACAATCAGAATTTTTAGAATTTACCTTTATTTCTGCTCCTTTTGACTTTTTCTGCCAGTCCCATACAGTAAGCATATGCTCATTGGAGTCATCGATAACACACAAATGAACACCTGAATCCTGAGGAAGAGTTCAAGGCATTAAAAAATTCCTGGATAAGACTTGACTTTTCTATGCAAGAAATATCATATCATTAGAACTGCCGGTAAGATAATTAAAAATCCTTTAAACTCATTATTCTTTAAAACATAATAAATTACTACTCAAACTCCATTTCTTCAGAAATACAAAAACCCCTTTTAAAATATCTTCTATTTTTAATTTTTTTTCTCCTGAGTTGATTTCCACTTGCCATCTAGTCACTTCTATTATTCCGGATCACTAATAACTCATTTTATTACTCATTCATTTCCTTGGTCCTGTTTGCAACTAATGAATGCTTCCTTCTTGTTGCCTCTATTCAAGATATTTTCCCTTGAGGGCAGACAGGAAGAACTGTACATAATTTCACTTTGTTCTTGACTAAACTTTGATAGTTTGAGAAAAGAAGTAAAAATTAATAGCTATCTTAAAGTTTGTTGATTCTGTGATATACCTGACTTACATTAAATGAGTAAACCAGACAAATAAAAATACAACTTAAGTTCTTCTCTGTTTTTCTGAAACCATTTTCATTCACATAATTTAAGTTTCTCAGCTTAAGAAAAAGAACCATGGATGATACTAAGTAATTCTTTTTTTTTTTTTTTTTGAGAGGTTTTTGCTATAGGGCGCGTGCGCTCACCAGAAAAACAGAGAGAGAGACGGAGAGACAGAAAGCGGGAAATCACTCCCCAGGGGGGATGGCCACACCGCAATCCCTTGTCCTCCATTCTCCTCTCGGGATCTTGGGCACGCACATGCACCTGGTGTGAGTTTAAACCACTGGGTCCGGGAATTGAACCACAGTTGACTACATGGGAGTCCAGCAACATAGCCATCAAGCCATCTACTGGGCCTGCTATTAAGCAATTTTTTTATAGTAGCATTTGTGGTATTTGCTTTTTATTACCTATGGAACAGAGAAACATTGTAATAAAGAATGACAGACACTGAGGAAGGGCAGGGCTTACCCTCTGCCCTTCACCTTTTCCTTGGCTTGTACTGAGCAGAATGGGATCTGAACTAGGACTGGAGTATGAGGCCACTGAGGCAGTCATCACACCACGACGGCGGTATCAACGACAACAGTTCCCGTTACTGAGATTTTACCGGAAAGAAATGTAGTAAATACTTTCCTAGTATTTACTGAATTTTCTAGTATTACTACTTTTCTTTCTGTCCTATCTTCCTTTCTAGAAGCCTTTCTCTCAAATCTTGACTTGCTGCACCCTGGACATTCAGTGTCTTTTCAAGCTAGCAAAGTTTCTAAATTTATCCAAATTTACCTTTTGATTTAAAAGTGGCCCTTTCTCCAGGTCCCAGAGAACTCCCATAATCCCAAATACAGCTCCAGATAAGAACTCAAGAGTTAATATAAATATATTCTGAAGCATAAATGAGGCCCAATGAAGTCTACAGGAGTATTTTATTTGAAATTTAAAAACATGAACCCTAAAATATAACAGGTCAGGGCTAGCAGGTGGCATAGTTGCTAAAGCGCTGGACTCTCGCATGGCTGACACGGTTTGAGTCCTGAACCTGGCGGCCAACTTCTCACTTTTCCTCCCTTTTTCTACCTCTCTCTCTTTGTATCTCTGGTGAGTGCACATGACCTGTAGCAAATTAAAATCCAAATTTACCTTTTGATTTAAAAGTGGCCCTTTCTCCAGGTCCCAGAGAACTCCCATAATCCCAAATACAGCTCCAGATAAGAACTCAAGAGTTAATATAAATATATTCTGAAGCATAAATGAGGCCCAATGAAGTCTACAGGAGTATTTTATTTGAAATTTAAAAACATGAACCCTAAAATATAACAGGTCAGGGCTAGCAGGTGGCATAGTTGCTAAAGCGCTGGACTCTCGCATGGCTGACACGGTTTGAGTCCTGAACCTGGCGGCCAACTTCTCACTTTTCCTCCCTTTTTCTACCTCTCTCTCTTTGTATCTCTGGTGAGTGCACATGACCTGTAGCAAATTAAAATAAATAAATAAATAAAAATAAATAATTCTTTGAAAAATGTAACAGTTCTTCTGCATACTTCTAATCTTCATTAGATATACTACAGGAAAAAAAGAATGTTCAAGTGAGTAACATCTTGTCTTATTTTCCCCTCTGGATAAAGCCTCAAAACTTAAGTAGGACTGTTAGACAAAAAATTATAAACCCAGGTTGTCATCAATTCAGAATCAAGATCATTTGAGTTTAAGGAATACAAACACTTGTTTCCTATGCTCAAATATGACAGCAAGAAAATCCAGTATTTGTGCAGAATTGGCCAAGTTTTGTGTCCATTAATTTTATTTTTAAAAAAATAATTAGTTATTTAATTTTATTTATTCATTCATTTATTTTAATTTGACCAGAGAGAGAGAGGGACAGTGAGAAAGCAAGCCGCCAGGTCCAGGAATCGAACTGCGAATGGCCATGTGGGAGTCTCCAGTGCCTTAACAACCACGCCACCTGCCAGCCCCATGTCTGCTAATTTCCTAAATAAAATTGATTTACTTTATGACTCAAGATGAAGTAAAAGCATACCTGCCTGCTTGTTTCATACTGGCTTATGTATGTGTTCTAACCATTTTCTCGACTACACTGGAATCCTAACTCAAGACAAACAAGAATTAAAAGTAGACTAACTGAGTATCTTGGATTCTAACTAAAGTACTTTAGTACTTAAGCTAAAATACTAGCCTCCTAGCAATAGCAATATTACCAATAGCTAACATCTCATTTTTCAATTTAGAGTTTTCGCTTTCTATGGATGTATACACTTCCTAACGTCTTTAAAAATTGTTACTTACTGCTTTTGAAAAATCCAGGCAACCTACTCCACGCTCGAAAGTTCCAAGTCCAATAATTTGCAGTGTAGAAAGACTAACTGAATCCCACACTCTGACATGGGGTTGCAGAGGCTGCAAGAGACACAAGATAACAGGACTAGCTGGGATGCAGGTGGATGTGAACACAACTCCACACCAAACTGCCTGCTGTCTTTAAAAAGGAATGGGGCAGGTAAACATCTAATACAAAAACAACTGCTAGATTTAGACCTTCCCCAACAGACTCTTGGGTAGGTATTTTCTTCCTATACTATAAAAATAAGGAAATGACAGTGATGCCAGTAGTAGCAGCGAATAATCCAAGTATCTTGTATGTTCCACATGCTATTCGAAGTGTGCCATGTGTATTAGTTTAATCTTCATGATCCTATGAACTACAGGTCTTACCATAATTACCATTTAACAGATGAAACAAATACAGAAATGAAAGAACGTGCCCAAAGTTGTACTACCATTAAAAGGCAGAGTTAGGATTGTAATCGGGCAAATTTACTCTAGATATTTTGAGCATTAACCTTCATTCCTGAGAAAACAACTCTTTTTTTTTTTTTTTTTATCAGTGTCCGATAAATTGCTAAGCAAACAGTCCTTACCCAGAATTCAGAACTGGAAGAGATTCTTAGAAGTTATCCAATATAAACCTTCCACTCCTTTTCTTTAAAGAAACTGAAGCCATGAGTACAGTTATGCATATGCTAACCAGTTATCAATATTATTGCTGATCCTTAAAAATACAGAATTTGTTATGTAAACTAATTTAACAGTACTGAACAGTAACCGAAGCTCTTTGTGCAAGTGATAACAGGTCTAGCCTCTGATAAAACTGAGAGGTTCATCAACTAATGGAAATTGTGACACTTCTGGAAACACTGAAAAGTGATTCTATGTGAAGAAGAATGTAACAAGCCTATCAGTCCTCTGACTTTTACAAGTAAAGGGTTCCTTTGGGAGAAGATTTGATTCTTTTGTCTTCTGACATATCCTTACATTCTATCATGTTTTCTCGTTCTTATTCTAGGAATCTTTTGGTAGTTAAATTTATGAGAATGAAACGCACGGGATGTGGCTAAATGATAATGAGCTCCACTCGAACAGCAGCACACCAGGTGCGGGACACGCTTACCCTCCCATCTTTGTCCACTCCAGCTATCTGTCCAGTTGCAATTCTGATCTTGTCAGGATGTATAGCGAGGCTAAAAAGCAATGGCAACAATACCTTTAAGTACAGGAAACGGAACACAACAGAAATGTACTTTTGTTGTCAACATTTTCAAATGTTAAAATAATAACCGTTCATCATAAAAAACAATTCACTTTAACCTATTTTTTTCTTCAGTAAATCAATTATCAATTACCTAAAGTTTCCAGTTGTACTTTTTCTTTCTTTCTTAAGCTTAATAAATTAAGGAAACACTAAATTTGAAGAAAATATTTACCCACAACTGTGGCATGCTAACAAATTTAATTGTTTTCATTTGTTAAAGTTTCTTTCCAGTACATGCACATAGGCAAAGTATTCAGATGGCTTATTGCAGTGAGGGTACAAAAGTGTATTGCATAATTTTAACCTATTTAAATAAAAACTATTTTTCCATTTTACTACATAACCCTGGCATGTATTACTAAATTAACAGCTCTTCCCTATTTTAGGACATTTCTAATTTTTAAAAAATAGTTTTATTAAACTTTATTTTAATTTGACCAGAGAGGGACAGAGAGAGAGAGAGAGAGAAAGAGAAGGGGGTGAGGTGCAGTTAGAAAAAACGCCACTAGGTTCGGAAGCTGAACTGCAGCCAGCCATGTGGGAGTCCAGTACCCTCAACCACCACACCACCTGCGGGCCCCAAGACCGTTCTACTTTTTGGCAAGAGAAAAAAGTAGTCAACATCTTCATACAGCACCTTCAACTTTTTGCTCAATTCTTAATACAAAGAACTCTTGTTCATTGAACCTGGGACAAGAAATTTTTAAACAAAAATGGAAAATAGAATATATGTACCTGAATTGCTCAAGGTACACATACACATAACAAGCAAAAAAAAAAAAAAAAAAAAAAAAATTAAAATTTTTTTTATTTTTTATTTTAAAAAAGTTAAGATTTGTTTAATTTTATTTATTATTATTACTATTTTAAAAATTTGCTATAGGGCACATGTAACAGAAAGAGAGAGAGAGAAAGTGAGAAAGCAAGTGCCAGGTCTGGGACTAGAACCAAGGTTGGCCATGTGGGAGTCCAGCACCTTAGCCACTATGCTACCTGCTGGCCCCACAAGCAAAAATCTGTAAAAGATGTCTTCATGTCCATATATAGAATCTTTCCGTATCTTGCAAACCAAGAGGTAAATTCACCTGAGAATATAAATTTTTTCCTTCTCTTTTTCTTTTTGGCCAGAAGATGTGTGCTATCACCAGAGATAGAGGAGAAAGCACCTTCACTGGGAATGGACACACCACAATCCCCTCTCCTCTATTTCTCCTTCCTTTGGACACTTAATTTGGGTAACATACACATGCACCCAGCATGTCTCAAGCTACCTGGTTAGCTACTCTAACCATGCAGTCAGATATGTGGGATTCAGCTGCCTTAACTACCATGCCATGGGACTGGCTCAAAATTTTGTTTCTTAGAATGTACTTGCTTGTTATTTTCCAGACAGCATCAACTTAAATAGCCACAAGAAACAAAAGTGTTCTAGAAGTTTCATTACAAGGCCAATCCCGTGGAACAGTGTTTGAGTGCTATGTATAGGCAGCTGGATGCCACATGGCCTCCAACGGTTAGAGTCAGTGGCCTGCGTGTGTTCTGGGTGCCCAGCATTCAAATGGGAAGAAAACATGGAAAGGATCACGATGTGACTGCGCTATCCTGGGGGTACTTTCTCCCTTTCTCTGCTGAGTGGATGTGCTCTCTGGCACTTAAAGTTTCACTAGGGGGTTAGCCAGGTGGCATGATTGTTAAGGCAGCTGGATCCTACATGGCCAACACCACATGGTTTGGAAAATACACCAGGCATGTGTGTATGCACACCCAAAATCCCTACAGGAAAATGGAAGAGGAGGGACTGGGTATAATTTCTCATTTCCCCTAACATCCTCTCTCTGTACGTAGCTCTCTGGGTGAGTACACACAACATAAATCAAAAACTTAAAAAAAGGGCAGGAGGTGTGGTAGTTAAGGGTACTGGATACTCACATGGCCAACCATGGTTCAAGTCTTGGACCTGGCAGCTTCCTTTCTCACTCTCTCTCTCCCTCTCTGTTCAAATGTAAATAAATTTAAAAAAAAATTCTTTAAAAAAAGTTTCATTACAACTTTCCCATATTAAAACTTATCTTTCAAAAATGTTTTAATAATTTGATCAGCATAAATGGTACCTTGTTTTAATTTCTTTGATTACTAAGGTTAGAATTGATCAATTTTTAAAATTTTTTAATGAAAGAGGGAAGGAGAGAAGGAGGCAGAGAGAAATAGAGGGAGATAAGATATTTTTGACAGGGTCTCACCCATACTGCAATCCTCCTGGCCCCGGCCACCCAGTTAGCCAGGATTCCAGACAGGTCCATGCAGCCTGTTTTTAGGTTGAGCTGGGAACGGAATCTGAATCTCGTCTCCCAGGAGGTCCCACCTTCACTTAGCAGTGCCTTACCACTTGCATCCCAAGGTTGGGATAATATGCTTCTTAATCTAATTCTACTTCTTCTTTAAATAGTTGATATCCTGTATTTAGGTCAACTACATTAAAGGTAACTCAAAATCTAATACCAACATTCTGCTAATATTTAAATCAGATCTTTTTATTTTAATTTCATTTTTTAAATTCCAATCTTTTTAAATAATTTTTTAACTGAAATGTCTGCATTAGGTTAATACATAGTTTAAATATCAAAAGTTACAAAAGACATATTAAGAAAAGTCTCCTTCCCACCTACCCTGTTAAGAATTTTTTTTTTTAAGAGAGGTTTTTGCTATAGGGCATGTGTGCTTGCCAGAAAGACAGAGAGAGAGACAGAGAGAGAGAGAGAGAGAGAGACAGAAAGTGAGAAATCACCCCTCAGGGGGATGGCCATGCTGCAATCCCTTTTCCTTCATTCTCCTCTCAGGATCTTGGGCACACACATGCAAGTGCCCGGTGTGAGTTTTAAGCTGCTGAGTCTGGGATTCGAACCATAGTCAACTACGAAGTTCAGCGACGTAACTATTATGGCATCTGCTGGTCCTACCCTGTTAAGATTTTATCTACTTTACCCCACTCCTATCCCCAGCAACCCCTAGCAGGTCATCACTAAAATTAATTTTTTAAATGAATAATTCTAGAAAGTTTTTGCATATGTGGAAACCAGGGTACGTATTTATTTTGTACTTCATTTTTATACAAATGGTAGAACACTGTGCACATTTTCCTGTTCTTTAGTATTTGTAATTAGGATTTTATCTTAGGGATGTTTAATATATAAAGCAATTTCTCATGCTTTCTTTAGAGCTGCACAGTGACCTGTGAAAGTATACCACCTTGGGACTAGCAGCTGGCGTAATGACTATGTTTGCTGGACTCCCATGTAGTCAACCATGGTTTGAGTCCTGGACCCGGTAGCTTGAACTCACACCAGGCACGTGTGCATGCGTGCCCAGGATCACAAGAGGAAAATGGAGGACAAGGGATGGCGGCGTGGCCATCCCCATGGGGGGTGCTTTCTCACTTTGTCTGTCTCTTTCTCTCTCCTCAGTGAGCATACATGTCCTCTAGTAAATTAAAACTTTTTTTTTCTTCTTTTATCTTTATTATTTTTACTTGGTCAGAGGACCCATAAGCTCCCAGAAAGATAGAAGGCATCCCCAAAAAGGGGTGCAGTCGTGCCGCAATTTGTTCTTCTTCATTTCTTCTCATTTCTGTTAAAGAGATTTTAGCTATAGGGTACATGTGCTTACCAGAGAGACAGAAAGCAAAACATCACCCCTCAGGGAGGATGGCCATGCCACCGTCTCTTCTCCTCCAGTCTCCTGTCGGGACTTTGGGCAGGCACACACACACACACATTCCCAGCATGAGTTTTAAGCTGCCGGGTCTGGGACTTGAACCAGTCAGCCACGCGGGAGTCCGGTGACACAATGATTATGCCATCTGCTGGTCCCTCTCCTTCATTTCCCTATCTTGTCAGAATTGTGGGCAAGCATGCACACATACATGTCATATTTTTGAAGCTGCCAGGGCTGGGATTCAGACCATGTGACAGGCTGTATGAGATCTGGCTCCCTTAATTTCCAGGCCCCAGGGCCAGCCCTACCTTTTACTTTTATAAGATGGTAGGATTAGGGTTGATTTAAAAATTTATTATGCTTATTTATATTTTCTAAAGCTATATCCATTTGATATTATTTGCATAATAGGACCTTTGAAGCAAAGTTTGTTTGTTTTTGCTAGAGGGAGAGTGTGCTCGTCAGGGGCAGAGAGGAAGGGAGAGGGAGAAGAGAGAGCACCTTCTTTGGGGAATCGTCATGCTGTAATCCCTTTTCCTCTCTCTCTCCCTCCTTTTGGGATTCTGGGCATATATGCACACTTGCTGAGTGTGTTTCTCAAGCTTCCATGTCTTGGATTTGAACCACATAGCCATGTAGAATCCAGCTGCCTTAAGCACCAGGTCATAGAGCCAGCCCAGGTCTTGTGTTTTAAGGATTTCTATGTTCTTATTGAAAAATAAAATAAAAGATTTAAATTGGGCTTAGTTTTCTTCCCCCTGTTCTTGACTTTGTTTTCTGATTATAAAAGCCATGTACCCGCTTTTAAAGCAGATCATAAAGTAGGGGGAGAAAGTTACAAACCTACCACCTAGAGAAGAGCAGCTTTTAAATGTTAAAAAATAATAAATTTAACCAATAAATGACTGAATTTTAATTATACACTAGCAAAATTTATTGAGTAATTTAAAAATATGCCCAGGTACATAAAATGAGTTTTCACAGTTTTGGTGTGATACCCTATAGGATTAAGATCCTTATTCATCAGTAATATCTCTTTTCCCATAAAGAAAAAGCATCAATTCCAAAATGTATCTTCACAGGACAAATTTTTAGTAAAACAAACAAACAAAAACACTCAGAAACCTGCGCAAGCTTGGTGTGCTTCACATATCTCACACCACAGAGCAGAAGGAAGGAACTGTAAGAGATCCGAGAAAGCAGAAGAGACTCCCATCAAGATTTAACTGCTGCTGAGACTCATCAATTATTTTAGAGGACTTGTAAGTCCTTTTGTCTTTTAAAAATATATTTGAGGGAACCAGCAGTTAGCGTAATGGCTATGTCGCTGGACTCCCACGTAGTCGACCGCGGTTCGCGTCTCGGACCCGGTGGCTTAAATCTCACGCCGGGCGCGTGTGCGTGCATGCCCAAGATCCCGAGAGGAGAATGGAGGAGAAGGGATTGCGGCGTGACCATCCCCCCTGGGGGTGATTTCTCGCTTTCTGTCTCTATGTCTCTGTCTGTCTGGCGAGCGCACGCGCCCTATAGTGAAAACCTCTCAAAAAAAAAAAAAAAATTGACAGAAGTCCCACAATACTCATATAACCTGAGTTCTCTATCAGAAATCATTTTCAATAAAACCCAAATTAAAAAAAATACAAAATGAGCACTTGCGAGAACAGAATAAGCAAACATTAAATGATACCAACCATTTCACACAGTCTGTATGGCCCAGGTAGTGTCGCTGAGTTCTCTCCTCGTAGTTAAATAGCACTACTACTGATGCAATGAAATAAACTATCTCCCCGGTAGGAAGAAGGTAAACATTAGCTCGACAGTCTTTTCCTCGATAACCATATCTTAACAGAAAAAGAGTCAAGGTTTTTAATAAGTAAATTTTCAAGGGATTAAATGAACCTTTTTTTTCACACTTAAGAGAATCAAAGGAGTAAGGAAAGGGTGATTGGACTAGAACTAAAAAGGTCATGTCCTGTTGTCATTCTTTGTGCAACTCTGAGTCTTCTGACGAGCCTAAATCTCGGTTTCCTCATTTGCCAAATATATACTTGGACACTGTGTTCCCAATATAAATCAGACGTGGGGTAACATTCGGTTCTGAACAAAGCAAATGTGAGGTTGGTGTCTCTGGAGCTTATGCTCTGGCAGAGAATACAGAAATTACCACCAAATATATCATTACAAATTGTGGAAAGAAAACTAACAGGATGCTAGGAGAAAGCATAACCAGAGGACCTAATTTAGGGAGAGGGAGAGAGAGAGAAGGGAGGAAGCAAAAAGAAGGCCTATCTGCTGTCCCTAAATGATGCACAAAGGACAGCCAGGCAGAGTCTGGTAGGCAGAGTGTTGATTAAAAAGAGGTGCAGAGAACTGGGATTCTCCTGTAGGACTGGTAAGTTCTCCCAAATATTTCTACCCAAAGAAGGAAATCAGAGATGCAGAGAAAGGGCAGACAGAAGAATTCAGTCTGGCTAAGAAGTTAATTTTGAAATTATAATCAACTTTGTTAATTTAAGCTCTTAATGACATACTTCCTATCATAACATTCATTCACAGGTTACAAAATACTTAACTGATATATTCTTATGGAAATCTCACAATGGCCCTGGCTTCACAGGGGAAAATGGCGGAACCAAAACCCAACACCAATCGTCTAATTCCAGTCCAATTCTTACATAACACAAGTGTCTGCTGTGACACTCATGGAATACTGCTTGCCCTTTCGGAAGATGTTAGTTTTGATGGCTTTAAATTGCTAATAGCCAAAAATACATAATATTTGAAAGGATTACAGATACTGTTTCCTTTTTTATTTCTCAATTGGCTGTTATGTTTATTATATCTACTTTTTTGGTAAAAAGATAATTTTAATAGAGAACAGGTAAATAATTTTTTTTTAAACTAGAGAGAAAGCACACAAATTTGCTGTTGTGGTAGAGAAGGATACACCCACTCCAGTTTGAGCTTCTCAGGAGGCAGTTCCGTTCTGATGTCATCATAGTTGTCAACATCAGAAGGAATGAACATTGTAATTGGTCGACCTCGCATAAACATTTTAATATATTCTCCTTCTGTAGAAACACAAGATAAAAATTAGGTCACATGCATTCTCTATATAGTCATTAAAAAATGGATTGTTAATGTGATACAATAAAACTAAGACAAAAATAGTAACACTTCAAAGTTTTATTCTCATTATATATTATTTTTGTCATATGCCATATAGAAAACAAAGTGATCCTGGGACCAGCAGAAGGTGTAATGGGTATGTCGCTAGACTTCCACACAGTTACCGTGGTTTGAATCCCACACCTGGCAGCTTAAAACTCATGGCAGGTCCATGTGCATGTGTGCCCATGATCTGGGTGCATGTGCGTGTGTTCCCAAGATCCCAGATGAGAATGGAGGAGAAGGGATTGTGGCATGGCCATTTCACTAAGGGAGGTGATTTCTTACTTTCTGTCTCTGTGTCTCTGGCAAGCACATGTGCCTTATAGCAAAAATTTCCCTTTAAAAAGAAAAAAAGAAAAAGACAAAAAAGTGATCCCATAAAGACCTAGGCCAAAACACTGTAGGAAAAAACTCACTGGCTATTTCCTTAGTTGAGAACAATTCTTTTCATAAGTAAAATGTAATTTATCTGAGCTGACATATTCTTACAAAGTCAGGAAGGCTGAGGTAAAGAAATGCAAAAGAAAAATCATTTTGTGTTGGAAATGCCTCTAAGATTGAAAAGGGGATTATATGGACAGACAACAACCATATCTATCATTCTATTTGAACAACATCATTGGATGTTTAATGATATGTGAAAACATGATTTCACAACCTAAAAAGCTTCTATTAAAAACAACCACCACCACCACCATCCTAACACACACACACACAAACACTACAATCAACAGAGTGAAAAGGAAACCTACAGAATAGGAGAAAATATTTGCAAAGCATATAGCTAACAAAGAGCTAATTTCCACAATCAAACACCTTCATAAACTGGGTTGGGGAGGGAGACTAAAAGCTATGCTACATAGCCTATGAGTAGAGCTGAAACTATCATTTTTTAAGACAGTGCTAAATAACAATTTTCTTAGTAGCATAGGCTCTAAAAAAAACTTCATTTATATAAACCAATAGGTGTTTTAAGATCTACAAGTCAACACTAAAAACATTTAAAAAAAAAAAAAAAAAGACAAGTCGAATCAAATCATCATGCATCTTTCACAAAAGGGAAACAGTACTTCACTAAAGATGGGACTCCTCTTCCTTTCCCTCCTTTCTTTTTTAGTTTGCTATATGGGGCACATGTGCTTTCCAGAGAGATAGAGAGGAGTTGGGGGTGGGGGAGTACGAAATTATCCCCCAGGGTGGATAGCCTTGTCACAATCCCTTCTCCTCCATTCTTCTCTTGGGATTTTGGGCAGGCATGCACATACACCTAGAGTGATTTTTCAAGGTCCCGGATCCAGGACTCAAATTATGCAGTTGGCCATGTGAGATCTAGCCTCCTTAACCTGTGTTACCTGTTGGCCCAGGGCTGTTTCTTACTTCTTCAAAGACAAATGAACAAAAACAAAAATCTCCATTCAACCTTGCCTCTAGCATCCCAGTAACCTACATATAGATAGGTTTAATAAATGTCTATGGAGATTATGAAATGGTTACAAAAGAACCTAAAAGGGAAGGAGGAAAAAACGAACTGAGTACAGAAGCATAGAACTGTTAGCACTTGCTAACTTGTTTGGCATGATATAAAAACAGCATTAAGCCCAGACTTAAATGTAATACAGAGGCTGATTCAACCTTAGATCTCTAATAATGACCTAAGCTACCTAAAGAGAAGAGTACTTAATAACTATTCAGTAGTTTATACAATGCAGACCATGAAGAAGAAAGAAAGATAAATTACTTGCTCAATGTCTCAGAGTATTGATGTTTTTTCAGAGCCAGTTTAAAAAGCTGTACTTGTTATGGGTGAGAAGTTCAAGTTATTTTTATTATTATTACTCAGTGTGCTCAGCTTCAAGGTTTGATTTTGATCTAAGAACAGGCCTCCCACACTATGGTTTTAACCCCACATGATGTACATCTTTATTACTTCTGAATCTGAGAGTGGGCTGTGCTTCCTGATGATTTTTAGCATAGCTAGACTAAATGAGTACCAGCTGTAAATTTTCCTCTTCTGCAATCATCCTTATCTGTATCTCCTTGTCCTTTTTGGTATAGTGCATAAAACTATACAAACTCTCTTGTAAGTGTCGATTTGTTGTATGATTTTCCTTCTAGTTTTTGTTGTTGTTTTAAGATTATAAATTGTTGAAGGCAGGACCAGCAGATAGTGTAACGGTTACATCACTGGACTCCCATGTAGTTGACCGCTGTTCAAGTCCCAGACCCGGTGGCTTAAACTCAAGCTGGGTGCGTGTGCGTGCATGCCCATGATCCCAAGAGGAGAATGGACTGCGGCATGGCCATCCCCCCGGGGGGAGGGTGATTTCTTGCTTTCTGTTTCTCTGTCTGTCTCTTTCTGGCGAGCGCAGGTGCCCTACAGCAAAAACTTCTCCAAAATAAAATAAAATAAAATAAAATAAAATAAAAATTCTTGAAGGCAGTTATCCTTTCTTTGAAATTTCTTGCAGCATCTTTGATTTATGTCACAAGTGTGTTCCGAATGAAGAAATGAAACATTCAATAAATGCTTCTATTTTTATTTAAAATGGAATGTATGCCCAGCAAAGAGAGTTAGCGATAATATAAAAGAAAAAAAAAATGCTCTCCTTTGCTTTTAGAAACAGAGAATACTATATTGATTCTTTTCATCACTCAGGCAGCACAAACAACTAAGTTGGAAATTAAAGGAACTATCTGGCTCCCGCCAATGCTTCTAATATAAAAACGGCAATGCATATTTTGGGATGAAAAGGGCCTCCGTGCTTGTAAACTGGTAGTACACATGCTGGAGAACCCGTAAATAATGTAAGCACATCAAACAATTCATAGGTCTGAGAGTGAGGCAGTGCATGACAGTGGGAAGAACATGAGTTCTGTTCTCTCCTGAGGGCCTTGAATCCCAGCTTTATACTTACTAGCTGTGAGACTTAGGACTCATTTTCCTAATAACAGAATGATACTACTACTTACTCCTCAGAATTATTGACTGATTACGTAAAACATCACACTGTAATATGGAGTTCTTTAGAAATATTTGTCTCCTTCCTGTCCAGAAAGATTTGTGTCCATTCTAAACACAGTCCAGCAACTGCTTATATGACTTAATTTACCACAATCTCCCTTCATCAACTTCAGTGACTATCCACAGAATAGCAAATGTAGGCAAAGATCCTAGAATTACGGTGATTCTATTACGTACACTTTAAAATAGGGAACACAGATCTAAGCATCTACAACATCAGGCAGGAAATGCAAATAAGATTAAGTGGGGGAGCACAGGATCATTAAGGGGGGCAGAGCACTGGCATCCCTCAACACCATCTGAGAGAGGCAGCAGCTAGTCTGCTCCACGAAGGGTGTGAGCCTGGTGTTATTAGATCTTCTCCCTCCAGCTCCCGCTCTCTCTCTTTTAATTGCTAAAGGAGACATGTACTGATCAGAGAGAGACAGAGGACAGAGAGGCAGAGAGACAAAGCACCCCCTCAATGGGAGCATGGTCATGCTATTTTTGACAGGGTCATACCCTGTTATAACTTTCCTGTCCCAGTCTCCCAATTAGCTAGGATTACGGGCATGCACAAATGTACCCAACGTATTCAGTTGGCCCAAGAACTCAACCTGGGTCTCTGGGTCTAAGTGTTGGCACTAGCTGTGTGCTACTATGACTGAGCCCAGTTTAGATTTAACGAACAAACTAACAAAAACCAAAAACAAACAAATAAACAAACAAAAAACAAGGGGGCTGGCAGGTGGCATGGTGGTTAAGACACTGGACTCCCACATGGCTGACCATGGTTTGAGTCTCAGACCTGGGAGCTTGCTTTTTCACTCTCCCTCTCTGGTAAAATTGAGAATAATAATAAACAAATAAAGTTAAATAAATAATTCTTTAAAACAAAATAAAACAAAACAAAAAACAAACAAAAATTATGCCTAAGGTTGGGAATATCAGTATGGGTGAAAATGTTTTAGCCACAATATATTTATTATATAATATAAATATGCACAAGACTAGGATGTCTCTTATGAGAAGTTGTATTCTCCATGTCTAGTAGAGGCAGTCAGGGTATTTGTTTTATCTAAAAATAAGAAAAGAATATGTCAAAAACATACATTCTTGGGACCAGCAAATGGCGTAGTGGTTAAGGCACTGGATTTCCACATGATCTGGCAGCGTGAAACTCACACAGGTGTGTGTGTCCAAAATTCCAAGAGGAGAATGGAGGAGAAGGGACTGCTATGTGGCCATCCTTCCTGGAATGTGATTTTTCACTTTCTCTCTGTCTCTCTCCAGCAAGCGCCTACACCCTATACCAAAAATCTCTCTCTAAAAAGAAAAAAAAAAAAAAAGTTAGACAACCTTTAAGCACTTTTTAATCTAGAAGACTTCTTCTAAACACAACACAAATTCAGATTTTTGCATCACAGGCTTTAAAAAAAAAATCTCCAACAGAGAAGAAGTCCTCTTTTCTTGACCTCCTTTTAATATACATTCAAGTCTGAAAAAATATAACAATAATTTGAGGACATTTAGGTTTTGCTCTATAAAAACATGTGACACTTATTCTCCACATTTAAAAAAAATGCAATATACTAGGTAACTACTGTAAGGATGAGCTTATTAGCTGTACTCATTTTATTACAAAGTCTTTCAAATTGTTATCTATTTTTCACAAGAAGTAATTTTATAAAAGCACCCCAACTTAGCTCAAAAAGGCTTCATCTGTAGCTTACTGGTTAGAATAGTACTATACCCGAACTTAACTGCTACATCTAACAATAAATAATCCTGAAGTGTGTTCAACTTTTAGCTTGATATGCTAGGACTCTCTCTGCTGGGACTGGAGCAGAACTCAGCAGAACTAGGGAGGGATTTAGGGTGCCAGTCAGAGCCTCTTCTAAGTGGCACAACCTGTCCTTCCTCTCCTCCCAGCCTCACAGACTGCCTTGGGTACACCCCGTTTCATTTCCTATTACTTCGACCACAGTTTCCTGTCTTTGGCCTAAGTGCTGATCAGAATATGCACCTTTGCAGTTTTTTACTTCCTCTGCTATGCGTGCAGGAGCCAGGCCTTGTAGGTAAAGTTCTCTCTGCTACCATTCACCTAGTGTAACAGATGTAAACGCAATGTTTCCTAAATCAAAGCAGATGGCTAGAACAAGTCACAGTGGTCACTGTCAAAAAGCACTAAAGAAATGGATAAATTATATTATAAAAAGTATTTCATAATGACAGATATTAGCAATGATTAATAGCTAAAATACAAGAAAATGTGTTGTGAATATGTCAGGCAAAATAAATACCGAACTTTAAAAACAGATCTATAACTTACAGGCAATGAAAATTTAATTAACTGTTTGTCTGTTTGTTTGTTTATATAAATGAGAGTGAGCTAGCAAGGGAGGGAGAGAAGAGATGGTTCTGCCAGGGTCTTGCCCTGTCAGGCTCCTCCCTGATCCAGCCTCCTAATTAGCTGGGAATACAGGTATGCGCCATCACACAGGGTATTCGATCTTACTCGACACATTTTTCCGTAAGGTTTTACTGTAAGACTCTTATGTTATTATAAGTCAAACTTATGTGGTAGTATGTTGTAGGTACTGTTAGAACACTTTATTACTATCTTTAATTTTTACAATAACCCTCCAAGGGACAAAATTTTAGATGAGAAAGCAAAGACTTAAGAAGACTGAAATAACCTGCTCAAGGTTGCATAGCTAAGTAAATGATGAAACCAGTCTTTGTACTTCAAACTCACTTGTTTAAACATATACATCGGGTTGCTTGCTACATATCCCTACAATGTAGATTGAGTTTTATATACGACTTCTGTGAAACTGCCCAAAACCAAGCTTTATTTCCCTATACATCTATTTCTTCTCAAACAAACGTTCCCTATTTCAGTAGATGCCATTTACCTCGCTGCTTAAGCAGGTCACAGAGAAGACTCCCTCTGCTCCTTACCTCCTAAACCACCCAGAATCCATCTTCTCCTGTCCAGAGGGTCTGCGCCAATCACGGGCAGGCCTGAACTACGCAGTTGACTCAAGCAAAGAGTTGTCCTCTCAGGTTCATTCTAAAGACTATAAACTTTATTCTCCAGATAGGATATAACTGATTAAGTGGCAAAGGAACATACACAAATTCCAAGAGTAAGACTCATTGCAAGTCCCTTTTTATGTCATCAAATTCCAACACCAGGGACATTTTTTTGTTTTGTTTTAGATAAAATTGTTGTAAGAGAATTTAACATATTTTTCTATATCCTTTTTCAGCTTCTCACTCCATTCTTCTATGTAGACGGGCCAAAATCCTGTTTAGTGATGTTTCTATATAAAATCCCTCCCTTTATAAATACATTTACCCACTTGTTTACCTGAATGATTTGAAAATTCTGTCACTAACACAAACCACTCTCATACACCAATCTTAAGCTCCTTCTTCCTTCCAAAGAACATACCATAAAGCATGAGAAAGGGGAATGCAACCCTTCTAATTTATCCCATAAGGATTTACAAAATTTGAGCTCTCTAGTGAAATACCTAATAATAGTAATAGTAATAACACCTTTTCATAGAACGGTGTTTTCTATTTTTAAAGTACTTTCATATATATTATTTCATCCTTCAATAGTCATATGAAGTAAGCTTTATAACTGTTATTCTCAAGATTAGAAACCTACTCAGAGATAATGCCCTTTGGCCTAAGTCAGGCTGCTATGCAAAAGAGCCAGAACCAAACACTAAACACTAAGTAACTCCTCACTCACTGCTCTTTTTTTTTTTTTTTTTTTGCCACTGGGCAAATGTACTCATCATTGAGAGATGGAGAGAGACTGTGAGAGGTGCTGCTCGAAATCACTCCCCAGGGGGAAAGGCCGCACTGCAATCCTTTCTCCTCCTGGGATTTTGGGCACATGTGCACATGTTCCCAGCATGATTTTCAAGCCCCTAGGTCCGGGACTCAGACTACAGTGGGCCATGTGGGAATCCAGTGCCTCAACTACCACGCCACCTGCTGGTCCCTCACTGCTCTATTTTTAAAAAGTTTTTGATAAATAACATCTATAATAACAGTTGTCTTTGTAAATAACTTCATTTTTTTCTTAAAATAGCTCAATCATTGCTTAATCTACACTGAATTTTAAAGGAAGGAAGCATGTAGGACTTAAATAAAGAAGAATGCCAGCAAAATTCAACTTCAGTTAGCATTTCTACATAAAAACAAATGATACAAAGATTACAAATAAATACTTACTTTCTTGCTGAAACCAAGAATGTAAACATCTACAGTGATCAGTTAAGTCTTTAGCATGATTTTTAACTAGCTGGCTCATATAATAGCCCAGGAAATAAAGATAACCATGACACACAGAAACAAGCTGCGAAAAGCATGCACAGAAAGGACATGCTTTCATTTAGAACAGCATGCTTTAATTAACTTTGCAGGCAATCTAAGAGAACGCAAGACAGATATATAAAACTTACCTGCTTTGCAATTCAATTAAATACACATTTAAAAAATGTCTGTTCTCTTTTTGGTCAGAACAAGCCAACAACAGCAAGTAGCCAAAATTACAATTATTATAAAAGAAAATTTAAGGAAAGATGGATTTGCTAGACTTAATATATTTTCAGTCTTAGCATTAAGAAATGAGTGATTATTTGCAATGAAGTTGGCAAGACAGGAAATTGAGTTAAAATTTATCAATCTTTTAAATGGCTCTTCTAAGTATAACTTTTTTAAAAGAAGAGAGAGAAAAAACTCCCTCTGGTATTTTATACCTCTGGGTAATGGTGTATTTTTTATTGTTCACTTTGAATATTTCAAGGTCAAAGAAATAAGTTAAATTTTTTTTAAGAGAGATTTTTGCTATAGGGCATGTGAGCTCGCCAGAGAGAGACAGAGAGACTGAAAGTGAGAAATCACTCCCTGGGGAGATGGCCACGCCACAAATCTCTTCCCCTCCATTCCCCTTTTCGGGATCTGGGGCACACACGCACATGCATCCCGTGTGAGTTTTAAGCCGCTGGGCCTGGGACTTGAACTGCAGTCAATTCTGTGGGAGTCCAGCAACGTAACCATTATGCCATTTGCTAGTCCACCCAAAATAAGACAATTGAAAAAAAAAAGTAGTTGGAGTCACTAATTCAAATTACCCTATTTCTTCTGCTAAGAAGAAACTCAGGTAATATAAGTAATGAAAAGCCAATTAAAAGAACCAGAAAGAAATTAACTTAGAAAAGGCGACCAACTGCGTAGCTTATTCTTACCTTGGCTGTTTTTTTCACGAGTTGACATTTTTGCTGGTTGAGACAAAAATGACACATCGTACAATAAAAATTGGACATTTGCTTACATGACTGTAGTAATGATTTCCTTAATTACTATGAACTAATAAAACACACTCAATGAAAACAATACTCTTATCATTAGCAAATAGTACACTGATGAAGAAAATTAAAATAAATATTTTTTTAAAAATGATTTTTAATTTACCTTGGTTGATGATGACATCTTTATGCCTAAAAAAGGAGTTAAAAGAACATAATTATTTTATAATTTTATATGACTTTTTAAAACCACCTAAAGAAATTTAAAAAACTTCAATGCTTAGGCCATATCCTACATGAACCTCTCCAGTGAAATTCAGGCATTGTTACCTTTTAAAATCTCTCACTGGTTTCAATTACTAAGGTAAACTGTTTCATAAAACAATGAATATCCCATGAGATCTCTGAAACAGTAAAAGCATAAAAAGAACTTATAAAAAATGCTCAACTCTTAGAGGATTACTGAGATTTATTGAGTGAAGGAGTATCACTAGGAAGACATGGCTTTTCATATTAAGATTTAAAAGAAAATACATGCTGAGAAGAAAAAAAAGGATGCAAATTATAATACAGATTTGATAAAAAAAAAAATTTAAACCAGACATATATGTAATAGGCACAAACATGGTAGTCATAGAATTATGAATTTTCTGATACAATGAAGATGGAGTAATACTTACTTGTCTGTATTTTTTATGACTTTTGATATTAATTTTGATGTTGAAGCTGTTCTCAACAATTTATTACGACTATCATCTGAATTTTCCCATGAATTATGTGACTTTTCGACTGTTAGTGGTGGTCGTTTTATGCTAGAAAAAAACACATTAATTTCTTAGAGGAAACATTCTGAGTGTTGGTGACATGTCACTGACAGTTTAAATAGAATACACGGCAAAAGTTAACGTTTTCTTAAAGCTAATCCAGAAGAGAAGAAAGGATTAGTTGAAAGGCTCTGACTGGATGAGTGATGGAGTTAAAGCAACAGCCAAGTCTGACTTATATTTTCCAGTATTCAGAAGATTTACTAGAACAAATATCATATGATCTAAAATATAAATATATATACATATATATTTACTTTTTCTGCTGTTAACGGAAAGTAAAAAACATTTGCTTAAATCTCTAATGCATCTCATAATTTATAGTTACAAAACATATATGATTGAATAAACAAGGCTGCCACCTTTGTTTTCATATAATTATCTCCTCAGGTAATTCAATTATATACTGTACAAATGTCAATTTCTAAATAAACTGTGGAACTAAAAGTAAAACTCTTGTTTATATCTTTAGAGATAATTTTACCATGATCAGCAATAAACAAGATTTGACATGTTGTATCATCAATGCAGATTTCCTATAACAAAATTTTTTAAATTTATAAATGTTTTTTCCAGCTGCATGGCTCACTCTCCCCAAAACTCATCCAGTCTTCAATACTTCTTGCAATAGTATATCCAAATAGCAATTTAGAAGGGCAAGCACATTTCCAGGAGACCTCAAGAAGCTGAAAAAAAGATCTAGGACAAAGAAGACACCAGGTCAAATCAGAATCTTAAGGAGATTGATTGTAAAAAGCCACCTTTAGCCACGACAACCCAAAGCTGCATAACTTGAATTAAGTTATATCCAAGAAAACTTCCACAGGAGACCAGGCAGAATTACAAACCACTCAGACAGCATAAGAATCTGCGTGAGACACACAGACATGGCCTTATGTAAATGGCAAACATGCACCACTCAGTGAAGGGCATTATGGGTTTCCCAAATTTCCACTAGAGACTTGAGGCAAAGTATCACACTAATCAAAAATAAATTAAAAAATGAAAAAAAAATCATGTTTTAGGAATGGTTGTCATTTATTTTATAAACTCCTAGCCAGTTGTGGGAATGGTCTAATAGTTTCCTAAGATTTCCAAGCAGAAGTATGATGATAAAATATATTTATACCTAATCATAAAGCTTTAATCAGCATTTCTAAAACAGACAAATATAATTAAGTTGCTTTCAGTATTTGATTACAAGGCAGTTGTAGCACTGAACTCCCAGCATGCAGTTTAGACCCCCATTTTAAGTTCACACACATGGTTAGAATGTTTTCCCCTTCTCCCCCTCTCATAACTTTGAAACATTAATTATTATGGATACAGAGAGAAGCCCTCAAGCAAGCCTTTAGCACAGAAAAGACCAGGTGAAACGGATTTGTTTCTCTGCTCAAGCAAGAACTTATCCTCCCAAGACCCAAAACTGAAACTGAGATGCAGCCATAATGAAGAGCCATTGTTGAGAAAGGCCCTTGAAAGTTGAAGGTTGTAATGATGCCAAAATATGGTGAGAATAATTACATTTAGACATTTTCTATCCATGGCTGTAAATTTATGCAGTTACACGTAAATTAGAAAGTACTCTATAATTAATACTAATTTGGTTTCAGAGTAGATTATTTCTGCCTTTCTTTCATCAGATTGTTTATGACAATTTTCTTTCTAGTTTCAACTGAGAAATTATGACCTTAAATCTTTATTTCCCAATGTGCTCAAATAAAGATTATAGCAAGTTTTCCTCTTGGAATCCATGGATAGCAATTTTTTTCCCAAGCCACAGAATTTAGGTATCATTACAACCATTCCCTAGCTCTGTACTCAGGGACAATTAAAACCTTTTGGTGGGAGTAGAATTCTTGCTTTCTGGAGTCTGCCTGTGTATTTGGAGAGGCTGTGAAGAGGGCTGGGGAGAAGGTGAGGCTTGAATTTGTGGACTTTGATCATTAGAATGAGATTCCTCTTTTTTTTCTCTCTGTCCTTGTGGTTTTTCTTTCTTTTTTCCTGTACCACTGTAAAATAAAGTATAACATGGAATAACACATATTTAAACAAATTAAAAAAAAACAAATGATAGAAAAGTGATGGTTGTATAATTCAAAATCCTAGCTCATATAGCTAATACAACTTACATTGCTTTCATTAAGGACTAGACTTCTTTGAAAACTCTAGATATTATTAAAGACTTTCAGTGAAGAAATTTTAAAACTTGAGAGGCAATATGTGCTATGATGATTGTACCTTTGAACAGAAATGGCCTCTAATGAATTTTGCCATCTTGGTAGATTTGGGGGGACAACAGAAGCTCTCTCGAATGACCTCAGTCTACCTAAATCAGAGGATTAGTGACACTATTACCTGTGTAAAACACACTCACACTTAAGACACACTAAATGCTCATGTTTAACACTAATTTATCCTGCAATTCCTCTATTTTGGTAGTATACTTATGCTCTTGCCAACTGAGTTTTAAACGTACCAAGAGTTTATGTTTAATATTTATCCACTTAATTCTATTTGTTCATTCATTTATTTTAATTTGACCAGAGAGAGACACACCGGGGAAGGGGGTAAGTGAGAAAGCAAGCTACCAGGTCTGGGACTCGAACCATGGATGGCCATGTGGGACTGTCCAGCACCTTAACCACCACACTACCTGCTGGCCCTGACAACCCTAGTTATTTTAATTATGTAAGTTAAATACAAAGAAAATGAACAAAATATATATGGTAAAGATAACTACAAATGAAATAAAAACTAAGTTGAATGCTCTAGAAAAAAACTATAAAAATGACTGCCTACAAAACCCGCTATTGGGACGGTCTATGATACAGTGGTGATGTGCCACCCAAGAGAAGTCAGACTTCAAACAGTCACTGAGGCGTGAACCCTGGCCCAGTCAGCCTGGACAGTAACTCCCAAGACCTAATGGGATGAAGGACTGGAGAAAGGGATCCTGGAGTCCCAGACTGTGTTCATCTCTTTCTTTTTCAATGTGTGCACACGCTCTATCACAAATAAAGGGGGAAAAGAAGGGGGGTGATTTCTCACTTTCTCTCTCTCTCTCTCTCTCTCTCTCTTTCTGTCTCTGTCTGGAAAGCACATGTGTCCTAGAGCAAAAAAAAAAAAAAAAAAAAAAGAAAAGAAAAGAAACTAAAGATTATTTATGGGCATATTTTACCCAAGGCAGTCAACAAAAAATGCAATCAGAGATACAGGTTTAGAAAGGGAGTGGGGGGGTGGGGTGGCAGGTGGCGTGGTGGTTAAGGCGCAGGATTCCCAGATGGCCAAGCATGGTTCAAGTCCCAGATCTGGTAGCTTGCTTTCTCACTTTCTCTTTTGCTCTGTCTCTCTCTGGACAAATTAAAAAGTAATAATAATAACAATAACAAATAAAATTTTAAAAATTCTTAAAAAAAGAAAGGGAGTGAATGAGAGGCTTGGCCTTCTATAGAAATACTGACAACTGACTATATGTGAATATAATTTAAAATAAATAATTTAAGATATTTATGTATAAATTTGTATGATTCTATACTTGATTTTTAAAAAATTCTGTCTTGTGTTATGTGTATTTTTTTAAAGAATTATTTCATTTAGGGCCGGTGCCATGGTGGTTGAGGGCGCTGGACGCCCATGTGAGCAATTGTGGTTCGAGTCCCAGACCTGACGGCTTGCTTTCTCGCTTTCTCTCTCTCTCTTTTTTTCTCTCTCTCTCTCACTCTGTCCGTCTCTGGTCAAATTAAAATTAATTAATGAACTAACTAACTAACTTTATTATTATTATTTTCCAATTTGATCAGAGAGAAAGTGAGAAAGTGAGCCACCAGGTCTGGGGCGCGTACAATGGTTGGCCATGTGGGGATCTAGCACCTTTAACCACCACGCCACCTGCTGGCCCCATGCACTTTGATTCTTGATTAATGAACTACTTGCCATTCTCAATGACACTGGATATAAATACTTATACTATACATTCTTAACAATACTATAAAGCAGATAGAATGAAGACTTGAATTTTAATGTTGAAAAGGTCAAACACTGTCAACTATCTGCAGCTCTTAATCAAAGGACATTTTGCAACTTGACAATAAGGTGTTCAACCCCCAAGGAAGTATGATTAAGAACATTCGTAACAAATACATACAGTACAGTATATACATATAACTATCACATTACGATAGTTAAAAATGACATCTGACAGTAACATTTCTTTTTTTGGGGAGAGGTTTTTATTTGCTATAGGGTATGTGCGCTCGCCAAAAAGAGAGAGACAGAGAGACAGAAAGCGAGAAATCACCCCCCCAGGGGGATGGCCACGCCGTAATCCCTTCTCCTCCATTCTCCTCTCGGGATCTTGGGCATGCACACACATGTGCCCAGCGTGAGTTTAAGACACTAGGTCCGGGACTTGAACCGCAGTCGACCACATGGAAGTCCAGTGACATAGCCATTGCATCAACTGCTAGTCCCGACAGTAACATTTCTTGATCTGATTCAGTTCTGATACCTTCTGACTTCAGAATGGCCCTTGAGACTATCTACTCAATTTTTGTTTTAGAAATACAATTCTATCTCGAAGTAACATAAGTTAAAAAGTCTTTATTTTGGTCTTCAAACTCTCCTAAATGCATTAGGTCACTAGTTTTCTATGGGCCCAGTTCAACCTAAAACAATTTTCCTTCTGGATTATTTAAAATAAAAATACAGAGTTTTTCTATCAAAACATAACAAACCCGGTTGGTCTTAGATTGTTGAGTTATGATTGTGCATGATGTTGATCACAACATGGCAGCAGTACAAAAGCTGTGTAAGAAAACGGACCCAACCCAAGCTGTTACTGGATACACAATAGAAGTTTAATCAAAATTGTACTAAAATTTGCGACTATGAGTATTTTCCTTATAATGTGTCCTCTTCTCAGAGTGGATCACAGGTAATAAATTTTGGCGTTCTTCAGATGAGAAGACTAGATTCTTTTTTTTTTTTGGAGAAGTTTTTGCTGTAGGGCGCATATGCTCACCAGAAAGAGAGAGAGAGAGAGACGGGGAGACAAAAGTGAGAAATCACCCCCCAGGGAGGATGGCCATGCCACAATCTCTTCTCCATTTTCCTCTTCGGGATTTTGGGCAAGCATGCACATGCTCCCGGCGTGAGTTTTAAGCCACTGGGTCTGGGACTCGAATCATGGCCGACTACATGGGAGTCCAGCGATGTAGCCATTATGCTTACTGCTGGTCCTAAAAGACTTAGATTCTGAAATAATGACTTCAAAGATTAAACTCTAGGATAAAAGTTTAAAAGGATGAAGATCTTTTCCCCCTGCCAATCCTGCAGTCATCTACTTGATTAAACACCTACGAAAGCACACTGACGAATAATTCAGTAGCTGATACTAGTTTATGTAAGCATTTTCTATCAACACATTATTACAAATTATCTACTACTTAAGCTTTATCCTTATTCAGACTTTGAAGAAAATGGTTGAAAGATTATGCAGTTAACTGATCTCCTAGGGTCTCTCCAAGATCTATGAAGTAATTTGCTAGATATTACAAAAGAGAAGGAAAGTCCTATAAGCAATTGAAAGAACAAATCAATTAAGTGATAAAAAGAACGTATGGGATACACACCTATAATCCAGTAAAATCTGTATATAGCCCTCTTGCCCACCATTCTTTAACATCCAGTCACAAATACACACAGCACAGAACTACAATATTTTCAATTGAGTCTTAATTTTATAGTTATGGTAAAGTATAAAAGTTATAATAGCATTCAACCTCCCACAAATGTAACAGATATATCAAAGGTCCTAATTTCCCTCTAAGAATGCTATACCAAATACATTGCTTGCTATAAAAAGTTCAGATGTAATTTCATTAAATACGTATCAATAAGCAATTAGTAAAAAGAAACAATGAAAACAAAACAAAACAAAACAAAACCAGAGAATGAAATGACTTTATTTCTCTAATAAGAACAAAAAACTTCCTCATACAATTTGACAGGTATACTGGCTCTTAATTGAGTGAGCTTAAGCTAGAAGTCTGTATATTCAGTTAAAAATTTCAAGGGGCCAGCAAGTGGCATGGTAGTTAAGGTGCTGGACTCCCACATGGCCAACTGCAGTTCAGAATCTAGGCCTCGTGGCTTGCTTTCTCACGTTCCCTTTCTCTCTCTCTGGTGAAAATTAAGTAATAATAATAATAATACATAAAATTTAAAAAATAGTTAAAAAAATTTCAAAGAACATGCTCACTTATATTACATGTAGCTCTATTTCATATCCTTTTTAAAAATAGATTGATTTATTGCATTTAGACAATTACGCAGTGTTAGTTTCCCCCCTTTTATAAATGGGTACCTTTTAGCAGCAGATGAAAGAGTTTCTTTTCTTGCAATTGAGACAGAGCTGGTGTGACTTGGCTTTCTGTTCGCAACACTTCCATTGGTTATACAGGACATGGAAATAGCTTCTCGAAGGCCTACCTGGCCTAAAGATAGTTAAAAAAAATTATATTTGATTTCATAATATTCCTCAATGATCAGGGTTTTAAAACTTAAGTCACTTAGTATTTAGAACTAGTGAGGAGATTGTCCCTGTGGTACAGAGCGTATGATTGTCTCAAGATTTAATTCCATCAAAACAGACCTATAGAAAAGCCATGCTCACTTGCTAAAATGCAGTGAGGCCCATTCTCTTTCCATACACAGCAGCTTTAAAACATATGATTTGAAGTTGTGCCTCAAATAAACCGTAATTTCCCATGTCACTGATCTTCAGAAATAGCTCATATTGTAGAACTTACAAATTTTAAATCCTGGAAACTGTAAATGTTAAATCTAGAACGTTATTCCATATAAATAAAGCATAAGGATAAAAGTAGTTTCTGCTTTCTTAACTTATACAGTTAAAGATGTGAAAGAAAACTGGGGACTCAAAGTTCCAAGATAAAATAATCACACTGACTAAGAGTCCAGTTCACTTGAAGATTAAGAACTACAGAACAGATTTAAATTTCTTTTTTTTTTCTTTTGAGAGCTTTTTTTTATTGTAGGGTGCGTGGAAAGACAGAGAGAGACAGAAAGTGAGAAATCACCTCCCCACGGGGGAAGGCCACACTGCAATCCCTTCTCCTCCATTCTCTTCCTAGGATCTTGGGCGCACACGCACCCAGCATGACTTTAAGCCACCGGGTCCGGGACTTGAATCGCGGTCGACTACATGGGAGTTCAGCAACATAGCCATCATGCTAACTGCTCGTCCCTACAGATTTAAATTTCTGAATTAGGTATTTCCACACGAATACAAGCAAAATCTCTTTCGTTTTGGCTGATCTCATTTTTTTCTTGCATCTTTTCAAAGAAGCACAGGCAGAGTAAAATATGTTTACATACATGGACTAACTAAATATTTGGCACCCTATAGCATTCCACTCATGGGGCGTAACACTTCATCTTTGACAAGAATAAGCTATGGGGCCACAGGTATCAATCATCTGTTTCCTAAATGCAGAGATTATTAGGAATGAATCAGAAGAAAGAGGGGGGCTATTTCATTCATTTTTGGAAACTTTTCAGAAAAAAAAAAGTTCCCATACAGGAATCAATAGATGGTGTAGCAGTTATATTACTAGATTCTCACAAAAGAAAACTTCCTGTGATGTGGATAAATAGTAGTCGGATGACGGAAGACTGAGGTGCAGCTAGGAACGTGTCGGCTACTGCCCGTTTCCCAGCTTTTGGATCTGGATTGGAAGTGGGTGAGCGCACGTGTGTCTGAGCAGGGTGGGGGTTAGAGAGAAGTACAGGATCAAGGACTTGTTGTGGAGACATACATATTAGGCAGATATTTAAGCGTATGTTTTTCCTGTATGCCATCACAGAAAGTTTTCTTCCTAAGATCCCTAATGGTTTGTGACTGAATTCAACAGATACATTTCAGTCCTTATCTAGCTGTTTTTCTTTAGCATCTAATATTGCTCATCATTCTTGAAGGACAGCATTCAGGTTTGGTTGCTAGGTCACTGTTCTTGCCTGAATTTTAGTTCTCTAGCCACTTCTTCTCACTCTCGCTTGCTGGATCTTCTTTTCTTGCCCAGCTACCTTGGCTCTTTGGCTCTTGTCATCTCATACCCTCCTAATCATTTTTAATATCTAAGTGTTACTGAGTGTCTCTTTATGAACTTATGTGTTCCTTCCCCCAAAAAACACTCCATCAGAAGTGCTACTGTATAATACACCTTATCATGGTAAAAACTGTCAGCCCATTCACTGTACCAGCTGGAAGGCAGGACATCCTCTTAGATTCCTTCCTTTTCTCACTACCAGCAATCAACGGATGACAAAATCCTTTCTTACCTTCGTAGGTCTTTTACTGTTTGTTGTATTTCCCCCCAGTTTTACTGAGATGACTAGCACACAGAAAGTTAGAGAGATATAGTATACCATTTACTAAGTGCTGACTTTAAAAAAAACTCATGAAAAAAATAAAAGAACAATTTTTGTTTATTTTCATTTTTGCCAGAGGTTGCATGAACACGCTGGAGACAGAGATGGAGCGGGAGGGGTAAGAAAGCATCCCTCATGGGGAATGGTCCAGTTACCAGGTCCAGAAGACCAACTGTGCGGTTGGCCATTTGGGATTCAGCTACCTTAACCACCACACTACTGGCTGGCCCAAGTATATGTTTATTTTGATGCAAAAAATTTCTTGCAGCCCATGCACAGTTCTTTTCCTAATACACATGTTCCATGAGTCTTTTCAAGACCCCCTCACATATAACTACAAAACGATCACCACAATCAAGGCAGTGAGCACATTCATCACTTGTTCCTTTGTGTTCCTCTGGAACCAATTTTTCCCTCCCTCATCCCGTCCCCAGGCAACCACCAATCTACTTCCTGTCACTGCAGCTTCATTTGCATTTTCTAGAATTTTATATAAACTGTTCCTTACAACAATCTTTTTTATCTGGCTTTTCCCACTCAACATATTTATTTTGAGATTCACCCGAGTTAAAGGTGTATCAATAAATCACTTCTTTGTATAGCTAAATCCTACCGCACTGTACAGATATACCACAATGGTGTTTATTCATCCACTTGATGGGCATTTGAGTCTTTTCAGTTTTTCACTTTTACAACAAAGGTTATGATGAACCTAAGTGTACAAGTCTTGTGTAGACATTAGCTTTCATTTCTCTAAGGTAAACACCTGGGTTGTATGATAAGTGAATGTTTAGCTTTTTGTTTTTGAGAGAGGTTTTTGCTATACGGTGGGCATACTCGCTGGAGAGACAGTGAGAAACAGAGAGGCAGAAAGCGAGAAATCACCTCCCTGGGAAGATGGTCATGTCTCAATCCCCTCTCCTCTAGTCCTCTTGGGATTTTGGGCATGCATGCACATATGCCTGATGTGAGTTTTAAGTCACCAGGTCCGGGACTAGAACCACAGTCGACTACATAGGAGTTCAGCGATGTAACCATTATGCATCTGCTGGTCCCCATAAATGTTTTTTATTTTTATTTTTTAAAGAAAATGTTGAACTGTTTTCTAAAGTGATTATACTACTTTACACTCTCCCAGCTATGTATAAGAGTACCAATTACTCTGCATCCTTGCAAAGACTTGGAATAACCAGTCTTTTTAATTTTAGCTGTTCTGGTGAATGTATAGTGGAATGTCACTGTAGTCTTACTTTGTAATTTCCTTAACTAGTCATGTTGAACATGTTTTCATGTGTTTGACATTCACAAATCTTTTTCTGTAAAGTGTCTGTTCAAATCTTTGTCCATTTTTTAAAGTAACTGTCTTCTTAATTTGACAATATGCTTTACAAATATTTCTCTTGTTCTGTAGCTTGACATTTAATTTTCAAAATAGTCTTAAAGAACACAGTGTTTAAATTTTGCTGAAGCTTAACTAATTGATTTTCTCTTATACCATGTGCTCGTTTGTGTGCTAAGACATTTTTGCCAAATCCAAGGTAACTAAGATTTTCTCCTATGTTTTCTTTTCTTTCTTTCTTTCTTTTTTTTTTTTGGAGAAGTTTCTCCTTTAGGGTGCGTGCGCTCACCAGAAAGACAGAGAGAGACAGAAAGCGAGAAATCACCCCCCCTGGGGGATGGCCATGCCGCAACCCCTTCTCCTCCATTCTTCTCTTGGGATCTTGGGCACACACGCACACGTGCCCAGCATGAGTTTAAGCCGCCAGGTCCAGGACTCGAACCGTGGTCGACTACATGGGAGTCCAGCGACATAGCCATTATACCAACTGCTGGTCCCTCCTATGTTTTCTTATATAAGTTTTATGTTTATAACCCATACACTGTCTACAATTCATTTTTGTATGTGGTGTGAGATAAGAGTCAAGAAATAGACCAGAGGGTGGCGTGGTGGTTAAGGCAGCTAGGTCCCACATGGCCGAATGTGTGATTAAGTCCTGGACCCAGTGGCCTGAAAGCAGAGAATGAAGAGAAAGGATTGTGGAGTAGTCATCTTCCTTGGGGAGAGGAGGTTGGTCTCTCACTTTCTTTCTCTGTCCCACAACTCTTGCAAGTGCATGTGACGTGCTTGCAAGTGCATGTGACGTGCATGCAAGTGCAAATTAAAATAAGTAAGAGACAGGATAGTATTTTGTTGGGGGGGGCACATGAGGGGGAATATGATCTTAATTCTTACGTAAGATTTTCCCCTCCTTATTTTTTCTTGCACCCTAGCTTTTGTGCTTGCTCTTCTGCTTGGGATGTTCTTCACCTGGAAGGCTCACTTTCAGCATTTAAGTTTCAGCTCAATGACACTTCACAAAGAAGGCTTTTATCTAAAGGGCCTCTCCTAGTTTACTCTCTAACAGTCCTTACCACCATTTATAATGATCTCTATATAATTTTATTTGTATATCTTACTTGTTTTATGGCTCTCAAATGTACCCTCTGCCTGTGCCTGGCATATAGAAAACACTTTATATCAAAATGACTAAATGAATGTATCTTGACCACCATAGTCTCAACTTCTCCTCTGTATTTTTTTGAAATATATTTTATTGAACTTTATTTACTTATTTTAATTTGACCAGAGGAGGAGGGAGGGAGAGAGAGCGAAAGCAAGCCACTGGGTCAGGGACTCGAACCGCAGTTGGTTTTGTGGGAGTCCAGTGCTCCTAACCACCACGCCACCTGCCGGCTCCTCTCCTCTGTATGTTAATCTCTATTATCCCTTCTTGCAGTTTTGCCCTGCTATAAGTCATGTTCCACACTGCATCAGAACGAGTTTTCTAAAACATACTATATGAGACCACCAGGTGGTGTAGTGTTAGTAGTTAAGGTGTTAGACTCTCACATGGTCAACTGTGTAGTTCAAGTCCCAGACCCAGTTGCTTGAAACTCACGTCAGGTGCATAAATGCCCAAAATCCCAGAGGGAGAATGGAAGAGAAGGGATTGCAGTGTAACCATCCCCTGGGAAGGGGAGGGGGTGGTGATTTCTCACTTTC